GCATTAAACAACTAACCTAGCAGCAAATAAACAACTAAACTAGCATCTGCCGAAAACTAAGCTAGCAACAAGAAAGAAATAAGCTAGCAACATCAGACAACTAGCCCAGCAGCAAAAGACAACTAACCTAGCAACATTAAAAAAATTAAACTAGCAAGAACAAAGAAATATCCCAGCAACAGCAAAAAATTAAACCCAGCAACAAGACATATCTAAAATACCAACCTGAACAACATCATCAGATATTTCCTTTCCTTTTGATTTTAATGACAGCAATGGCATTTTTTCCAAACGTTCATCAACAAAACCTCGGCCAAAACCACCAATTTTGGCCTCAGCATTGCATCTCTTGCGCAATAGATCACAATTCCAACCAATAAAGGAGGGCAGACTCCTTGGAACCTCTCGATTTACAAAAGCAAGCCGATCAATGTATAAAACCTGCATTTTGGGAGAAAAAAAAATATGTATATATATATATAAAAAAAAATGGAATACAAATTGTTTAAGAATAATATAAAAATACATTCTTACAACGAGAAAAAGAAGAGGCCCATTAAAAGCAGTATTGTTGGTATTTTCCCATTTCATTCTTTTTGAAACCAAACTTTGAAGAGTGTATTCACACCAATTCAAGTCAGATACACGTGTTATGTCAGTAATGGACTTAAGGAAAAGTAGGTTGACATAACCAGCAGATATTGTCCCAACTATCAGAGCATCCACCAAAGCAGCAAAATGACAACAGAACATTTCACCACCATCATGACACTCCAACATTTCCTTGCTCACATTTTCAGCAGTGATTTTATCAGAAGATTGGGTAAACTTACTCCTCCAAATATCCAACAGCTCACAACACTCAGATTTCTTCTTCAATTCGATAGTCTTATCCCCTCTAGGAAAGCCTAATACATTCTCCACATCAACAGATTCAATGTGGATTCTGCCCTCACTACAACGCAAAACTGAGCTAATTGGGTCAAAATTATCCAACACCCAGAAAGATAAATTGGTTGGAATCTCTTTAATCTTAAGATGCAGCATATATCCAAACCCCATTTTCTCCACAGCTCTTTTCTGATCATCATTAAATTTGGCAATGGCCTCAACCAAAACTTTTGGAGAAGACCGTGTTGAGAGCCTTGGGAAACGAATTTTAGCATCAGGCTGCCTTTGACGAGCTTCACGTACAACCTTGTGAGATGAATCAGTGAGCAAAAGAATATCATCATCCCTCTGAGGCTCCATTTGTTCAAATTAAACTGAGTTACAAAAAAACAAAAAAAACAAAAAATGTCAAATAGATATAACAAACCTTGCATCACACAGAAAAGTAAACTTGCAACTAACCAAGCAACATCAGACAACTAACCTAGCAGCATCAGAAAACTAACATAGCAGCAGAAGACAACTAACCTAGCAGCAGAAGACAACTAACCTAGCAGCAAAGGACAACTAACATAGCAGCAAAAGACAACTAACATAGCAACATCAGACAACTAACCTAGCAACAGAAGAAAACTAACCTAGCAGCAAAAAGACAACTAACCTAGCAACATCAGAGAACTAACATAGCAGCTACAGGTAACTAACTTAGCAACATCAGACAACTAACCTAGCAGCAAAAGACAACTAACATAGCAACATCAGACAACTAACATAGCAACATCAGAAAACTAACCTAGCAGCAGAAGACAACTAACCTAGCAGCAAAAGACAACTAACCTAGCAACAACAGACAACTAACCTAGATACAAAAGACAGCTAAGCTAGCAACATCAGACGACCAACAACATATCAGCTACACAGGTAACTAACCTAGCAGCAAAAAATAAGTAACCTAGCAACATCATACACTAACCTAGCAGCATCAGAGAGCTAAATTAGCAAAAAATAAACAAAACATGTTACTTTAATCTATTAAATGAAAGAATGAAAAGCCTAAACTCGAAAAAGTTATTACAAACAAAAACACAGCAAAAAAACTCACCAATTTAAGACGAGAATCTGCGAGAATAGACTACGAAGGATAAAACGGAAACAGAAATTGAGACGTACCGCCCTCAAAATCGAAATCGAAATCGAAAATGGAAGAGAATGGAACAGAAACAAGGAGCAAGTGCGAAAATGGAAGAGAATGGAACAGAAACAAGGAGCAAGTGCGAAAATGGAGAGGAAAAGTAAAGTACAGAGTTCTGAAGACGTACCGCCCGCGAAATTGAAAATATTGGTTAATGTAATAAATTAATTCTGAACGTTAGATTAGATTAGTGGTGAACGGACCAGATCAGGTCTCACGTCCTCACTTTTAAAAACGGAGCGCATCTGAACCATTCCCTATATATAGATAGATATGGCTTTTCGGTTTTTTTTTTTTGTTTTAAATATTTTTATATATATTTTATATCTTGAAAATCCAAAAATTATCATTAATGACAGTTTTTTCTTCTCCCCTTCATCGCGGAAAATCCCCTTCCTCTCTGTCTATCATATCTAATTTCCCCAAAATTTTCCGCCAAAGTCTCATTCCAAATTCTCTGAGAGAAGGAATATTCGAGCAAAATTTTTTTTGTTCCGTGCATTTCCCCCAACGTTAAAATATCGCCTTAGGAAAACTATGAATTTAGTAATTAGAAAACAAAAGAAATCTTAGATCCAACTTTATTTAAATTCAAGGCCGCATAACCAAACTAGCCTTAAAATTTAATATAAATAAGCAAAAATCCAAACAAACATTCATTTGAATTTACAACTCATAATCCCAGCTTAAATTTGTGTCAATAATCATATATCCAAAATTGAGTTCAAGCATAAATAAACGCAATATGATATTATTTTTGTTAGAATATCACTTGTGAGTTGTCCCACATCGTTCATATATGGAAAATAGACCCACCTTATAAGACTAATGGGCTACTCCTCCTTTCACCAATTGGTTTTGGGATGGAACCCCATTTGGACTTCATATGGGCTTTTCCCTTCTTTCATGGTGTCCTTCATGGTAGTGGGCCAACACCAATTTTCCCCCAGTTTCTGTCATGGTATCAGAGCTAGGGCTTGGGGCACCCAGCTCAGTTGGGCTTGGGCTTTCGAAGGACTCACAAGTGAGGGGGTGTGTTAGAATATCACTTGTGAGTTGTCCCACATCGTTCATATATGGAAAATAGACCCACCTTATAAGACTAATGGGCTACTCCTCCTTTCACCAATTGGTTTTGGGATGGAACCCCATTTGGGCTTCATATGGGCTTTTCCCTTCTTTCATGGTGTCCTTCATGGTAGTAGGCCAACACCAATTTTCCCCCAGTTTCTGTAAGCTTAAACTAAATTAAAACCAAAAATTTATAGCACGTACGTCATGCATAATAAGGTTATCACAATTGACTCAAAATCCTTATGGACCATGTATGATGTATGGATAAGTCCATGTATATAAATCCAATCTATATGTGCATAATTAATCTCACATTTTGTACAACATATTTTGAGTCTACTAGAACATTAAACTCAAAAGCCCAATCCTTATAAAAATTTTGAGATACAAGAAAATGTAATCTGAAATTTATTTATAATTTGAGCAGGAATACAACTTTATATGAACTTATATTTCTATTCACTTTCTTTGAATTTAAAGTCCATAAAACCATGCATTAGATTTTAAATCCAACTTTAATCAGATAAAGTCTTGTTGTCCAAATTAGACTTAATCTTATTGAAACTTAATCAAGTTCATAAAACATAGAATCAAGTTCGATTATTCTGATTTTAACTTAATTAGAAACCAATTTTTAAACTTTGAGCTGAATTAGACAAAATCCAAATCTCAATTTCAGCTCAAACACATGGTCACAATTTTAATATTTTGGTAATGTCTGTTACAGGTGGAATCCGATGATAAATTTTTCCTCCAGCCATTGAAAACTTGGTTACGCACGAACCTCCTGATGCACCGGCTGGGACCAACCGACAAGTGGAACAGTATTTTCTCGATTGCGACCTGGCGATTATGGACGTGGCGTAATGAACGGATATTTAAACATAAAACTCTAAGTTGCGAGACCCGAGGATTGGAGGTGTTACGCATAACGGACACTATGTCCGAGCTGAGGTGGCATACAGAAGAGTTGGGACTGCCAACTATGTTACTCGTATGGTTCGATGGTCCCCCCCTGGACCGGGATGGTTTAAACTGAATACTGACGGTGCATTTGATAACCGCACGGGGTTGAGTAGTGTGCGGGAGGCTTGATTCGGGATGAAACGGGTGTTAATCAAGTTCATAAACATTGAGCTGGACCGAGATCTTTCTTCTGAATATTGGTTCCTACACCATTACGGGAGCCGAGCTATGGGGTCTCTTTCATGGACTTCTATTGGCATGGGATTCGGGACATCGACAAGTCATTGCTGAAATTGATGGTCAATGTGTTTCGAGGATGGTCACGAATGTGGATGGCTAATTTGGAGCTCATGAGGCTATGGTTAAGGCCATTCGAGAGTTAATTCAGAGGGAGTGGTCCGTGCAAATTCAACATGTGCACAGAGAAGCTAACTTCGCGGCTGATCATATGGAGAGCGTGGCGGCTTCATATCCAATTGGATTGCATCGAGTTTCTTTACCGCCTACAGGATTAGGTGCATGGCTTGAGCATGATAGTATTGAGGTGCCATACCCCCGACAGGTTTTAGCCTCCTTTGTACCAAAAAAAAAAATATTTTGGTAATGCATCCTTGCGCGATGCGCCACCCCTAAAGCTAGGGTAGGCAATACTACTTATATGAATTGGATCTAATTTAAATTAAAATGTCACAGCTTCAATGCAATCTAGATTATAGATTCAGCTAGCTAGGCATAAATTCTTTAAATCTGTAGTACTGTACAGTATAATACATTTCAGTAAGGTATGAATTAATTATATACAGCCGACCATATCTAACTTTTTTTGGTACATTCATATAAACATATATATAAGCCCTTGCACAATTTCAACTAATCAAATTCAGCACTACCAAATATACAAGAAAAACAAATATATTATATTATTAATTAAATATTTATCCTCATACATGCATTCATCATCTTCCAATTAATTATATATACAGACCAATAAATAATTAATGGGGCGAGTTGTGGCGGTGGTGATGATTGTGATGTGGGTGATGACGGCGGAGGGGCTGAGCTGCGGGCAGGTGGTGCGCAGCCTTGTGCCTTGCCGGGATTACCTCAAGTCCGGCGGCAACGTGCCCGGAAAATGCTGCGACGGGATAAGGTCTTTGAACAACATGACCAGAACGACATCTGACCGGCAGCAGGCTTGCCGGTGCATCAAAACCGCCGCCAAGGCTTACAAGGCCAAGCAAACGTATGCGGCGGCCGTGCCCCGAAAGTGTGGTGTCAAACTCGGTTACGCGGTCAACTTCAATATTGACTGCAACAAGTACGTTGACCAGATATAAAAACACTGATACAGATAAATTTATTTTTATACAGTTGATAATTAAATTCTAATTTTATTTTATTTTCTTCAGTTGTGGCTGTTAAATAATTTATTTTTATTTATTAGAAAATTATTTATTTTATTTTATATATACATTATGTACATCAAAGGTTACAAATAGATGATTAATTATATATAACATATGAAAAAAAGTTTATGAGTTTTAAATTTATGTTATTATCTTATTGGTTTATAATTTTAATAGTCGGCATAGATAAACGTTAATATATTAGTAGATCTATTAATATATAAAGAGACAATGATATTTATTTAAAATAGTAATTTATATCTATATAAAAAGATTTGATTATTTTTAAAATAGCAACTATTTACCGCCAAAAAAATATTGTTTGCTAAATTCGGAAAACTATTTAAACATTTTATGGTATGTTTTAAAGGTACAATTTACTGAATTTAGGTTTGCAGCTGATTTATTAAGGTAATAAATCACATATTTTTTTTTTAAATCCATTAATATCTTTTCCATATATAAAATTGAAAACAAATATTTTCAATAAATGTGTTAATAGTGTAATTACAGAAAAATTTATACCGTGATTGTTATTATCGGTGCTATGTGGATAACTGTGTTTGTCTGTTGATCACTTGGGGTCTTGCATGATTTATTTTGATATTTGAATAAATTGTAACAGTAAACAACTAATATAATTACAGTAAGCATAGATTGTTCAATGAAACTAATAATATTATCTTCAAATTCAGTATAATGACAACTAATATAAGACTAATGAAAGAGAGGATCACAAGAATTCATTATACGGCAAAATATAATTTACAAATTCAGTGTAACATGCACATCTACGGATCTACCTATATATATAGAAAAAACGTTTATATTTACATTAAATAATGAAATAAAAACTAAAAATTTCGCCTAAAAATTTTAAGATTTCTAAACTTGGTAATATTTTTTGAAAAATTTTAAAAAAATCTGGCCTCTATATCAATCAAGTTATGGTATAAAGTTGACAAATTTAATAAATACGGGATCGGTATAAAGTGGACAATTTTATTTTAGTATTTGATGGCCATATTTATTTTTAGTAGAAAATGTGTTATTATTAATAAATATTCGATTTTATGATTTAAAGTGTACGATTTTATTTTGGCATGAAATACTCAAATTTAAATGGTATGTATTTTATTTACTATGGATCCAAGTGTATTTGAAAATTTTGTTAAAAAAAATAAGTTTTCAAATAAATTGGGATGAGATAATATTGGTACCGATTTTAAGCATGCATTAACATTTTTTTTTTCAATGTAAAATTATAAATTAATATTTTTAGTGTAAATTATTGAATTAATCAAATAAATTGGGATGAGATAATATTGGTTCAGATTTTCAGCATGCATTAACATTTTTTTTTTCAGTGCAAAATTATGAATTAATATTTTTAGTGAAAATTATTGAATTAATCTATATCTAACCAACCCACAAAGATTGATTCTAGGCTTTAAAAAAAGTTTGTATTTACTTTTCTAAAAATTTTAAAATATTAAACTTGGTAATTTTTTTTTTAAAAAAAATTTAAACAGATCGCGGCTCTAAAAATTTAATAATCAATTTATGATATAAAGTTAACAAAATTAATAACTCGGATTTTGGCATAACGTAAGCGATTTTATTTGAGGTATCTAATGGCCATTTTTGGTAGGAAATTTGTTGTTATTAATAAATATCCTAATTTATGGTACAAAGTGTGCTATTTTATTTTGTTCTGAAATGTCATGATTTAAATGGTATGAATTTTATTTGGTATGGATAAAAATGTATTTGGAAATTTTGAAAACAAAATAATTGATATGAATTTTATTTAGTATGTGTTTGAAAATCGAATTTTAGATTGATTTGTTATAAACACAAGGTGATATGATTCTCAAATTTTAGCATATTCTCATAATAATTTGTCATAAGATATTAATGATAATTCGGAAAATTGGAATTATTGATGATAATTGGATAAATTTGCATGTATTCCTCTTTAAAAGCAGTAAGATCTTTGAAAAAATATATTTTGTTAATAAAAGTCAAAATTCATAATTTAATTCTAGAGAATTAATTGAGAAATTTTAATGACGAGGTAACCAACAACAAATCTAAAAGTCAAATAGTCACTATTAATTTCGACATAAATGAAATATTCAATTGTTTATAATCTAATAAATTATTCAACTGCTTAATTTTTTTTATTTGAATAGCTTATACGAAAATAAATTTGTTTTAATTAATGAAACAAAATAAATTTTATATTTATTCTTATTATTTACATAGATTATTAAATATATGATAAACTTCTATCAAAATAATTATTTTATAGAATCACATTGTAGTCAAGTCGAATTTTTGAATAAAAATTTAAAAATGACACTTATTTTAAATAAATATAATGTAATTTATTATCAGTTACATACACCGTACAAGTTGTATAAGAATTTTAGATAGACAAATTTTATGTAATTTTGCACAATTACATTTCATATAACATTTTCAATAAAATTAATATAAGTAAACTATATTACGTTGATTCCACATTTTTAATTTATTATATTATTTAATGAACATTTTCAATTTATAAATATTAATGAACATCTCCTAGCCGTGCATCACACGGGATTTGTACTAGTTAAAAATAAGCAAAGAAAACATTTGGTTTACTGCTTAAAATATCTACTACAGTATATTGAGTAATATTTTTGGCCAAACTTAAAAAATCTCGCCTAAATTAATATACAGAATCATTTTAGTTAGATATTGCGGCTATTACCTTTATTAGTTGCATGATTTAAATTTGGAATATAATATATTGACAAAATTTGTAGCTATTACATGTATTAGTTGCATAGTTTAAATTTGGTATATAATATATTAAAAAAATAAAAATATTTTTATTTAGATTTTAAACTAAAAAATAATTATTCATGACTTACGGGTCAATATTAACTTGGATGTAAACGAAATAGTCAATTATTTATAGTTTAATAAATTACTAAACTACTTAATTTTTTTATTTGAATAGTTTATACAATAATAAATTATTTGAAGTAATGAAACAATATAAATTTTATATTTATACTTATTATTCAAATAGATTGTTAAATATATGATACTATTTACCAGAATAACTATTTTATGGAATCACATATAGTCAATTCGATTTTCTAAATAAAAGTTTTGAAATGATACTATTTTGAACGAATATAATGTAATTTATTATCAATTATGTGCACCGCACGGGTTGTATACTAATTTTAAATAGACATTTTTATGTAATTTTTCACAATTTAAACTTTATATAACACTTCAATAAATTAATAAAGGTAAATAGTATTACATATTGACTTCATATTTTTAATTTGTAAATATTATTTAATAAAAAAATTTAATTTATAGATATTAATGAATATCTCTTACTCGTATACTGCACGAGACTCATACTAGTTTACTCTAAAATACATATATTAGCTTTACTCTAAAGTACATACATATAATATTAGAACGTATGTTAAATTGACACCTCAATTATGTATAAAACATACACCACAAAACTCAAGCTTGAAAATCTCTTGATTTATATATATGTGGGGATGACGATT